ATATGATATGAAATACATGGTTACACATACATGTGGTATGTGACAGAAAAGAAAGAACAAGTGATGAGAAAAGTATTCATCGTAAATGCCCATAGTATATGATACGAGAGCTATAGGTATAGTTGGCATGCCAAGAGTCGAGGGTATTGTAGTCCTTCGGGACGTAGTCCTTCGGTACGTAGTGGTCCTACGGGACATATATAGCAGTCCTTCGGGACGAATACTGAACAAATGTTCGGTGCCCCATGAGGGAATTTATACGAGTTGTGGTGACAGTTTTGGTGTACAACCTCAATATACTCACATACCTCTATTCTCAATAATATACATGGGCGACAACAACGACAATTGAAATATAAATTAAAGTGAAAGTGATGCATAAAGGTAAGTTTCATGTGTGCATGACTTGGTTATATATGTCATAGGAAATATATCCATGCATATTGAAATATCATGATCAAATGGTAAGAATGCATATTCATGAAACTATTGTTACATGTTTATTTATTGCCTCACTAAGTCTATGACTTAGCGTGTAAGTGATTTACACGTAGGTACCAAGAAACGTGAAGAGCAAGAATAGAAGTGGCAAGGATATTATTTTTACTAGAAGACCAGATCAGAAGTAATCGACAAAGTATGTATTTTGTTGTGTATAGAGTGTTGGCATGTAATAAGTCGTTAATTATGAGCACTCTGATCGAGTTTGTATTTTGTAGTCTCTTCTATGTAAATTAAAGTATTTTGTTTTAAATAAAGTTTTAAATTTCCCGGGAATTTTCTTTAAGTGTCAAGGTTTTAAAAGTCAATGTGACACCTCGGACTCGTATTCGGGTCGGGTACGGGTTGGGGTGTTACAAAGTTGCTCGAAAAGGATCTGGTGGGTTGTCTGTTGAATTCCAAGGATGAAAAAGGTGAAGTTTTAACCGATGATCAAATCACCGATAACATCATCAGAACTCTTTTTGCTGCTCAGGACACCACGGCTAGTGTTATGACATGGATTTTCAAGTACCTCCATGACAATCCGCAGTCAAGGTAGGGCCTTGAACAATCCATTTTTTCTTCCAGTGTCTAGAACCGTATCTCTTTCTTTATGAACACTATAGTATCATTTATTGATGGTCTTTGTCATAGAAATTCTATGTCCAGGGAGCATAATCTTAATAAAACTAATGGGTGAGACTGTCTTTGTAGGCTGAACACAAGGCAATTAAAAGATTGATTGAAGAAAGCAATCAACCTCTGAGTTGGTCAAACATAAGGAATATGCCAATTACTTACAAGCAGGGAGTGGCTAGGTATAATGGGGCCCTATGCAAATTCTTTTAATGGGCTCCTATTTTCTATAATCAATGCTTATGAAGTTTCAAGTCGAGTAAATAAGAAGAGAAAAAGTAGTGGGGAAATACGAGCACACTGCTTAGGTTACCAGTGAATTGTAGTAACTGGCAGACAAAGGAGCGCATTGTCTGCAATCACACGGAACACAAAGCAGATCGATGCCCGCATCCAATGTTGTATTATATTAATGAGCAGTATTAAAAAGGGTGATGTTTTCGTATTCCCCAAAGGCCAAAGGTCTGGTTTATTACAACAGTATTTCAAGAGCCCTATTTTTGTGGGGCCCTGTGTCGGCTCAGCCACGACCCTGCTTACAAGGTGACTGAGAACCGTGATTTTTGTTCTTTTTTTGTTGAATCCCCTAAGTTGGATTTAGATACCCAAATCTTGGCTAACAGTGGAAAGTATTTGACTGGGTCAGGTTATATTAGAGACACTGAGGAGAATGGCAAGCATCATATCCTTCACTTTTAGAGAAGCAGTCGCTGATGTGGAATACAAAAGTAAGAATAAATCAACTCATGTACACACACATAAAAAAAAGCATTTCGGACGTCAAATAAAACTGAACATAAAATGGCATATAAGGCAATTGCTAACTCTAAAATAACAGGTTACCTTATTCCGAAAGGTTGGAAAGTGCTGCCTCTGTTCAGAAACATTCATCACAATCCTGACATTTTCCTCCATCCCCGGAAATTCGATCCTTCAAGGTTTGAGGTGTGAACAGAAACTAAAGTATTTTCGACATATACACTGCGTTTGGATATTTTCATTTCCCTGGTTAATTTATGAGTTTGGTATAATCATTTATGGCTTACGATTAAAGGCCTTTCTTTTGGTTTGTTATACATTAGATGAGTTATTCTCATTGTATGATGTAGGTTTTCCCAAAACCCAACACTTTCATGCCATTTGGCAGTGGAGTGCATGCATGTCCTGCAAAAGAGCTTGCAAAGCTGGAGATTCTTATAGTGACCCACCACTTGGTTTCTAACTTCAGGTATGTTGTTTGAAAACCAAAGTGAAATTAATATTTGTCAATTTTTAAGGGAATGTTTTACTATATGATTGTTTTTGGACAACCCTTAAATGATATCCTTGTTCATGTTAGTATTTATTTAAAAAAAATAAAAAAAAGTTTGGGGAAGCAAAAAATGTTAATTTTATTTTAAAAAAACGTGATTTTTTTATTAGTTTACCCTAACATTAAAAAATGTTGTTTTTTTATTTTTATAACTAATTTTAAATTTTCGATTTCCTTTTTTTTAAAAATATATCATTATCTATAAGAATTAAAAATAAATATATTTTAATTTATTAAAACTATGATCAAATTGAAAGAATATATAAATAACATGGACTATTTGTGTAATTATACTATCCAGGTAAGTCTGTTAACTGCTGTTAACAGGCCACGTGTGTTTTTCGTCACGCCTGTAACGGCGAGCGACCAATTTGTAACAAACGATAACGTTAGTGATCGATTTGTAACTTTTGAAACATCAGTGGTGAAAACGAAAACTTACCCAAACATTAGTGATCATTGAAATAGTTTACCCTTAAATAAACTTGAATTTAATATGCATTTACTACATTAATTATAAACATAAAATTTTGAATATTATTTTTTGATAAAAAGCCACCAGTTTTATTAAAAATAGAAAATATTCAGAATTACAATGAAGATTTTCAAGCATAACTGTAAAGGTAAACTAAATTATAATTAGAACATTTTCTTATAACTGTTAACACAAAAACTAGCTACCTAGATCACACAATGACCAAAAAAGGAAAAAGTTAAAAAAACAATTACTGCTCTAATAAAATAAAGATACGAACAAATCCTACTGCATTGGTAAATGAATCACAAAAGGGATGAAACTATTGAAAGACCGTCGACAAATTGCAAATCAGAGTCAAGTGACATGAGAAAACTATCCACGAGCGCAAAACGCGTATCCAAATCAATCTGAGGGTCCAAAACAGGGAAGATCAGCATGATAACAAATAAGTATCATCTTCATCAGTCGTGACGATGACAAATCTAACCCTGTGAAAAAAGATTAACGAAAAAAGGGCAAAAACCGTAAGCTATTAAAAGACAGAGAAAAACGTGTCACAAAGTCTGAGATAAACGTGTCATAAAGGAAGATAACATGTCATAAAAATATAATTATTATTATTAAAAAAATAATCAATGAGTGACAATCAATATCAAAATCGATGCCGTCACTAATTAAACAAAATTTAAAAAAATTGAATTGATCAATAAAATTTACAAAATTGTAAAAGAAAAAAGAAAGAGAGAGAGGAGAATTTTTTTTAAACATTATTGAATCACGTGTTGAGTAGAAAAACTTATATTATTATTATTTGAACAAAATACTCGACCTTTTACTTCATTTTGAGTTCAATCTCTCAAGAATCTTCGGCCCATTCCTCTTATAAAATTAAGTAAAACTATTTAAAATACCACTTATTTTTGTCCATTGACTTACTTATATTACTAAACTTTTAATTTTGTCAACTATAGTACTAAATTAGTTTTATATTTAATTTTGCCACTCCACCATAAAGTCATTAATGAGACGATAACATGACTAACGATTGTTTATGTGACATGTCACACCAAAGCGACATCATCTTAGTGAGAATATTTTGATGCCTAAAACGATGACTTTTTAGACACAAAACTTTAGAGATGTATCGTTATGTCACTGAACTTTTTAAACAATTTACTTTTTTGATATTGCACTTTTTGACCAATGTCGGCAGTCAATTACCACCCATCATAGATCGTTTTTCGTTGCAAAATCGATACCAAAATGTTCACATTTCAGTAATCATTCTTTTGAAATGATTAGTTTTCTACAAAACCTACATATTGTTTTTCGTTGCAAAATCGATACCAAAATGTTCACATTCACTGATCATTCTTTTGAAATGATTACTTTTTCACAAAACCTACTCAAAATCAACGAAATTAACCAAAAAAAAAACTATCATTTTTTAGATGTTTGGAGACTTTCTTAGATTTACATAATTTGTGATGTTTGTTCAAAAATTTGAACGGTGAAAAACATTATTTTGACAAGATGAACAACATACCTCAAAACAAACCTCACTGAATGGTCATTGAAAGGGATCATAGCATTAATACATTGAACTTTTAAATGTGTTTTCATCGATTTTGAGTATGTTTCATGGAAAATCAATCCCTATGAGAAGAAAGAGAAATAAAATATGAACATTTCGGTACTGATTTTATAGCGAAATATGATAGATGACAGAGAGTGCTTGGCTACCGATGGCGGTCGGAAAATAGTGTTAGAAAAGAAATATGCTTAAAAGTCTAGTGACAAAATTGATGCGCGCTTATAGTTCAGTGTGTAAAACAACATCGTCTCAGGCATCATAATATCCACATCAAAATGACATTGTTTTGGTATGTCAGACCACATCGACAACCGTTTCATCGTCCTATTACTGACTTAACGACGGAGTGATATAATTTAATATAGAACTAAAGTTTAGTGTTATAATTGAAAAATTGAAACTTTAGTGGTATAATTGAATCAAAGAACAAAATTAAGAGGAGTCTAAAATAGTTTTCCCTAAAATAAGATAGAGCAAGGGTTTATATGCATACATACAAAGTCTATCAAATGGGAGATATGCATTAATCGCAAACACATCAGAATAAAAAGAGGCTAGAAAATGGAGAGAAGACGGCACTTTGTATTAATCCATGGGAGCTGCCATGGAGCTTGGTGCTGGTACAAGGTTGCGAGTCTCCTTAAAACGGCTGGTCATCAAGTGACGACCTTGGACCTTGGTGCTTCCGGGGTTCATCCAAAGCGGCTCGAAGAGATCACCTCTTTCTCAGATTACTTGCAGCCATTAATGGATTTCTTTGTTTCTCTTCCCGATGAACCAGATCATAAGGTCATTCTCGTCGGCCACAGCTATGCCGGTCTCTGCATTTCTCTAGCCATGGAAAGGTTCCCCAACAAAATCAAAGTTGCAGTTTTCATTGCAGCATACATGCCTCATCATAGCACTCCACCAGGGACTCTCATACAAGAAGTAATACCCCCTTTTAATCAATTATATGCTATTTATATCGCCTGTAATTTACCCTTTTCTTGTGTTGGTTTAGTACTTCAAAAGGACTACAGTGGAGTCTTTAATGGATTGTCAGTTCACATTTGAGAATGGCCTGGACAGGCCACCGACTTCAGCTCTCTTTGGTTCGAAATTCATGGAGGCCATAGCTTATCGGTACTGCCAATTAGAGGCGAGTCAATATAACTCATGCAGTTTAAGCATATTTATATGTGTGTTTGCAGGAGCTTGACTTTGGTATTGATATTTGAGTGCAGGATTTGGAGTTGGGGAAAATGCTGGTACGACCGAGTGGGCTGTTCATGGAAGATTTGATGAGTGGGAATTTGTTAACAGAAGAAAAGTTCGGGTCGGTTGATCGAGTTTTCATTGAATTAGAAGGAGATGAAGTGATGACACAAGAGTTTCAACGGTTGATGATTCAGAACTCACCGCCCAATGACGTGAAGGTCATTAGGGAAGCCGGCCATATGGTCATGCTTTCCAAGCCTTCACACCTTTCCCAGCTTTTACAAGACATCGGAGCCAGATTTCGTTGACTGTTGAGTCTAATGTTTTAATACATTTTTCTCATTTAGGCTAATTGCTTCTTCATCTCCGTCAAATATTGATATATTCTAGTTATCTCCTATCGATATGATAGGGTGAACTTGTAGATGAATTTTCGTTAATTTTGAATAAGTTTAGTTAATTTTATTATCGATATAAAAAAATTAAGTGAAATTTAAACGTTTTAGTATTGATCCTCCTGTAGTAAAAACAACTAATGACATGCTATTATTGGCTGCCGGTGATGACTGAAAAAATACAATATAAAAAATGGATATATTGAAGAATTCAATGGCAACATCAATGCATCCTAAAGTTTAGAATCAATAGTCGTATAAAAACAATGTCGTTTTGTCAATGTTCTCATATTTTTTAAATTTTAACAGTCCAATAACATAATTGAGGTGGAAGTTAAATTTCAGTATTATAATTTAAAAAATTAGAAAATTGTATAATATAATATAAACTATACAATATCTAAGATTTGGTGATAAAAGCTTGTCATCGTTTTCCATTTTTGTATTATTTATTACAACAATATAGACTATACAATATCTAAGATTTGGTGACAAAAGCTTGTCATCATTTTTTCTGGGGTTAAATTTTTCTTAATTTTAATCTAAGGATTAAATTAAGAATTTGGGTAAAATTTGAGAGCCAAAATGAAACTTTAGTTAAATTCAGACCCAAATCAAAAAGTTTCAAGAGCCAAGGACTTATGGTATAATTATACCATTTTCTTTTGATAGTTTAAAACCCTCTTAGGGCCCAAAATTTCCATTTCTGGAAACTGAAACACACTCTCTCTTCAACATTCCATTTTTGAAAAACTTAAGCAAAAAACACTTAAATGATGTTTTACTTTCGATCGAAGCTTCGTTGTTGACATTGCTCATACCATTGAAGTCCTTGTGTCATCATGTGTCTAATGATGGTCTCTTTGTTTCCGTCATTGCCGGCGTGAGGAGAAGTGAACGATAGTAAGTTTCCAGCGAAACGTAATTTGGATCTCCGTCGTTCACAAGTGTGAACTAAGGTTGGTAAGTGCCTTAAAAAGCTTTTAAATAATTTTAAGAAAATTTATGTAATTTTTTGATCGAAACTAAGCCCACACGCACCGTCGCTGCGCGTGAGGGAAGTTCACCGCTTGGTGGGATTCTAGAAATGAGTCAAATCGACCCGTTGGCGCGCTTGCCGACCTATTTGACCCATTTGCCTGACCTGTTAGACTCGTTTGATCCACTTAGCCCAATCCTAAACTGTCCCAGTTAGACTAGCCCAACCCAAATCAGTACAGTTGAGCTGAATCACATTGAACCGCGCCGAACAGTTCCGCATTGCATCACGCTGTTGACTGTTACCATTGATCATTGACCAGAGTTTACTTTTTTTGAAAACCTCCCTCTTAATATTTTTCGACGTCCTAAGTCTGATTTTGCAGCCCGTTTTGCCAAATTAAAACCCAAAAAAAACCCTCACATTGAGCCCGTTAAACTGAAAATGCTTAGTGTTTTTTTAACATTTATGTTTCTTTATTTGGGATTTGATTATGTAATTAATCTAGGATTATATTTTCATGAAGGTACTTGTGATTCACCTGATTGAGGGTATACCAGATCCGGTATTTCCCGTTTGACAGATCAGTAGCTTGCACATTCTGCAAGAGTGACACATAGATTTTTCTAAGTTGTTTAATTTAAGTTTATTATTTATTTTATGTTAGGATATTGAGATAGTTTTTTCGATTCGTAGGGTCTAGCACTGTCGCTAATCGTGATAGGCAGACCCGAGGATGGGCTATCGTCTCAAACATCTCAGATTGGTACAAGTATGTTCCTATTGGTGTTACAATATTGTTTTAAATCCTCTATCTGAATTGTTTTAAAATTTTAAATATTTTGACTACATGAAATATGTTTTATCGCAAACTATGATTTCTGATATCTAATTTACCGTATATTATGGTTGGTTACCGTATTTTTGTATTTGATTATGAAAAATGGCATGTTTTAATGTTTTATAAAATTAACTTATTGAATTCATGCATATTTACTATCATTGGGGTATGATTGGAGGAAGCATTTTAGGCCTAGTCTTTGACTTGTAAGACCTTACCGAATGTATCTCTGCTTTGTGCATTGGCTAAGACCTTACCACATGCCTTTATACTATCAATATAAGGTCCTTACCGGGCATACATGTGAGTGCATGGTTTAGGGGTTACACATTTTGTGTTCGGATGTGGGTAGTGTTTATATTTTAAAGTGCATGTTTTTATAAAATAAATTTTATTGAAGTATTTGTCTGAATATTTTATACACCGTAAAAGGCACACATGGTTTTTTTACCTCATTCTTTAATTTTTAACTTTTCATATGGTACTAGGCAATAGACTAGCGGGCTTGGCATCAAGAGGACCGATCTCTCCTCACTTTTGATCACTGTATATTTATGTATACCTTTTTTGTTATACTTTGGTGACACGTGTTTTTATTAATGTCTTCACGCATCTGTATTACCGATATTTTGTTTCGACTTTTCTGATGATTATTTATGTACTTTAATATCATTTACATTTTATTTACAGAAATGGATTTTAAGTGTGTTTCGAATATGAAAATAAATTTTGTATACGATATGTGACTGCTTAGATTCAAGCATATCTTTTAGTTCATGTCTAGGGGGTTAAACTTGTGGTATCAGAGCTTTCAATTTTAAACACTCGGAATGTGAATGGGTCTAAATACCGTATTTTTAAAAATATTTTTTTTGAAATTTACAAATATCGTGTCACCTTATTTTACAAGTTTTAAACGGATTTGAGATTTCTAATGTCAGGCTAACTTATGTTTAAATTCTTTCATTAGAGCATATTAGATCTGTTTCGATGAAGGGTCGAGGACAGGCCGTGGTCGTGGCCGAGCGGCTCAACCTTATGTTTCTTTTGAAGATACAACGTTAGCCAGTGATCCTCCTGCTCCATGTGTCCATCCATCTACTTCCCGAGAAGATCTAGTTACACTTGCGAGAGACCGTCACATTATTGAGGACGAGTATACTGAGATGGATTAGGGCGCCCTAGACAGGGTTATCTACCGCATTTTTCAGATGGTAACTAGAGATTCTGCTAGTATATATGTTGTGGATATAACTACATCTTTAGTGGGTTCTAGAGTGGTTCCGTTTAAGGGCTTGATTGGGGAACCTTTGTAAGATTATGAGTAATGGTTGGAGGACATCGAGAGAATTATAGATGAGATAAAACTGATGACAGAGCAGAAGTTGAAGGCAGCACTAGCTTTGCTTAGGATGGAAGCGATGAGATGGTGGAATTTAATTTCCAGGAGTATTATGAGGGATCAGTTGACTTTGGACCTTTTCAAGGGACATTTTCGGAGTCACTATATCGGAGAGAGATACTTACAGGAACGATGTTAGGATTTTCAGAGCTTAGAGCAAGTTGACATATTTATTATGGACTATGAGATTGAGTTTATCAGACTGAGTCGTTATGCTCCGAGGTTAATGGACAATGAGGTGGATCAATGCTTAAGGTTTGAAAATGGACTGAGGTATGAGAACATAGATCAAATTGCTACCCATCGGGCGAGGCACTTTGATACCTTGGTTGATATAGCCAAGACTACTGAGTTAGAGCGAGTGAGTATAGAGCGTAAGAGGGACATATATCGAGATAGGGACAGAGACCCAGATAGAGATATAGACCGATTCAGGAGACCTTCTAGCTCTGGTAATGTTTATGCATGTCCCAAAAAGAGAGGTAAGGGCGAGTATTCTCAGAGAAGTTGTGTGAGTTCTAGGCCTGCAGTGTCAGCCACTCTGATATTTTTAGTTTCTAGTTAGGGTGGTTCTTCTATAGCACCGCCTCTGTCCACTTGTGAGTATTGAGGAAGACGTCACTTTGGAGAGTGCAGGAAGAATATTGGTGCATATTTTAGATGTGGATCTAGAGATCATTTATTGAGGGATTGTCCAGAGCCATATCCCACCACTCAGACATCAGTTTAGACATCTGCTCATACTCAGAGTACAGTTCAGACTCTACCTGGGGGTCGTAATCAAAAGAGAGTGTCTGGGTCTACTAGTAGGGGACGACTTTCTCAGAGTGGGGGTACAGCTCGGACTAGGTCCAAACAGCCTGGATTGTTATATACAACCAAACTTTGTTAGGATAGTGATGAGCATGATGTGATTACAGGTATTGTCACTATTTATTCAGTTCTATACTTTGCTTTATTTGATTCTGATTCTACTTATTCCTATATATCATGCTCTGTATCTAGGGGACTTGGTATCCTGGTTGAGAATATTGGGAGTTTTATGACAGTTTAGAGTCTCATAGATCAATCAATAGACCTGGATCGAATCTATAGAGGTTATCCTATAGAGGTTTGTGGGGAGATCTTCTTGGTGACCTGATAGAGTTGTCGTTAGACGAGTTTGACTTGATACTTAGAATAGATTGGTTGGACAAGCATCGAGGTAATCTCGATTGTGAGACCAAGAGAGTTCATCTGAATACTCTTGTAAGCTGAAAGATAATGATGATTGGGGAACATCGTGAATTCCTAACAAATGTTGTATCTGCTTTAATAGCTAAAAAGATTATCATGAAGGGTTTTGAGGTCTTCATTGCTTATATTCTGGATATCAAGGGTTCCCGATCTGACATTGAGGGAATCTGGATCGTTAAAGATTTTCTTAATATTTTCTTGAGGAGTTACATGGTTTACTACCGAATAGAGATGTTGAGTTTAAGATTGAAGTTTATTTCGATTCGATGCCAGTTTCTATGACTCCTTACCATATGACCCCTAAGGAGCTTAAAGAACTGAAAGTTCAACTTCAAGAGTTGGTAGATAGGGGATTCATTCGTCCCAGCGTTTCACCATGGGGAGTTCCAGTTCTCTTTGTCAAGAAGAAAAATATGACATTGAGACTCTGTATTAACTACAATAAGCTAAATAAGCTTACGGTTAAAAACAAATATCCTCTACCCAGGATTGATGATCTATTTAACCAGTTTCAAGGGGCTATCATCTTTTTAAAGATAGACTTGGTCTAGTTATTACCAACTCAAGGTGAAAGATTCTGACATCCCAAAGACTACTTTCTGCAATTGATATGTACATTATGAGTTTCTTATGATGTTATTCGGGGTAACTAATGCCTCTTTTACCTTAATGGATATGATAAATGGGGTGTTTCGACTCTATCTAGGCCAATTTGTTGTCATGTTCATTGATGACATATTGGTATATTCTCGAATTGAATCAAAGTATGAAAATCATTTGAAGATCGTTTTGCATACTTTGAGGGAGCATAAGTTGTATGCCAAGTTGACCAAGTGCGAGTTCTGGCTCAGTAAGGTTGTTTTTATGGGATATATTGTATCTGTTGAGGGTATTACAGTGGACTCGAGTAAAATGGAGACGATTCTAAACTAGAAGCAACCTAATAAAGTCTCAAAGATCCGTAGCCTCTTGGGCTTAGCTGGCTATTACCATCGTTTTATGGAAGGTTTCTCTATCATTGCAGCTCCTCTGACGAAGTTGTTGAGAAATGACGTTCTATTTTTCTGATCCAATGATTAACAAGCTAGCTTTGAAAAACTGAAGACTGTTCTGACAAAGCTCCAGTGTTGATTCAGTCAGAGTCTGGAAAGGATTTTTTAGTTTACAGTGATACTTATCATTCTGGATTGGAATATGTTCTGATGCAGGATGAAAATGTTGTAGCTTATATGTCTTGTCAGCTAAAGCCATATGAGTGCAGTTACCCCACCTATGATTTGGAGTTAGCTGCAGTGATCTTTGATCTGAAGATCTGGAGACACTATCTCTATAGAGAAGTGTTATATTTATACTGATCACAAGAGTATGAAGTATTTGCTAACTCAGAAGGAGTTGAATCTGAGGCAGCGTCGCTGGTTGGAGCTTTTGAAAGATAGTGATTGTGAGATAGTGATTGCGAGATAGAGTATTACCTGACAAGGCCAATGTGATGGTCGATACCTTAAGCTATAAAACAATATCTAATCTGAGAACATTATTTTTCAGGTTGAGTTTATATGATGATGGCGGTCTGTTGGCAGAGTTACAAGTCAAGCTAACCTTAGCCAATAAGATTAAGGCTAATCAACTTTTGGATAGATATTTTCTTTTCATTTTCGAGCATGTTGAGCAGTGTTCGAGTTCATATTATACTCTTGATCATGAGGGAATTATGTCTATGGCCGTTACTTTGTTCCTAGAGATTATGAGTTAAAACATATAATTCTTCAGGAAGCCTATATTATCCCTTATGCTATGCACCCTGGTGGAGACAAGATGTACAAGAATCTTAAGGAGTGTTACTATTGGGTTGGTATGAAGAAAGATATTTTTGATTATGTAGCAAGGTGTATGACTAGTCAGAAGATCAAATTAGAGCATCAGCATCCGTCTGGCCTATTACAGCCTATTAAGATTCTAAAGTGGAAATGAGAGCATATTACGATGGATTTTGTGATTGGTCCACCTCTGACTTCTTCAAAAAAAGGATTCAGTCTAGGTGATTATCGATAGACTTACTGAGTCGGCTCACTTTATGCCGAAGCGAGTTAATTATCCTCTGAACAAGTTGGCTAAGTTGTATATATCTGAGATTGTCAGACTTCATAATGTTCCTTGTCTATTATTTATTATCGAGATCCGAGGTTGACTTCTAGATTTTGGGAGTCTCTGGTACTCGTATGAACTTCAATACATCTTTTCTTCCTCAGACTGATGGTCAGTCTGAGAGGGTGATACAGGTTCTGGAAGTGGAAATGAGAGCAGATTATGATGGATTTTGTGATTGGTCTACCTCTAACTCCTTCAAAAAAGGATTCAGTCTGGGTGATTATCGATAGACTTACTGAGTCAGCTCACTTTATACCGATACGAGTTAATTATCCTCTGAACAAGTTGGTTAAGTTGTATATATCTGAGATTGTCAGACTTTATGATGTTCCTTGTCTATTATTTATTATCGAGATCCGAGGTTGACTTCTAGATTTTCGGAGGCTCTACATGAGGACCTGGGTACTCGTATGAACTTCAGTACATCTTTTCTTCCTTAGACTAATGGTCAGTCTGAGAGGGTGATATAGGTTATGGAAGACATGTTACGGGGTTGTGTAATTGACTTTCGTGGTAGTTGGGAAAACTTTCTACCACTAGCAGAGATTGCTTACAATAACAGCTAGTAGGCTAGCATTCGCATGGCACCATATGAGGCTCTGTATGAACGTAAATGTCGTACTCCTATATGTTGGACCGAGTTGCATAATAGGAGGATTTTGGGCACAGAGTTAGTCCAGAAGACTGATGATACTATCATATTAATCCATGATCACCTGAGAGAGACCTTTGATAGACAGAAGTCATATATTGATCAGATGAGGAAAGACATCGAGTTTGAGGTCAGGGATCAAGTTTTTCTGAAGATGTCTCCGTAGAAGAAGGTACTAAATTTTGGACCCAAGGGTAATTTGAGTCCGAGATACATGTTGCTTATCAACTTGAATTGCCTCTTCAGCTTAGCCGTATTCATGATGTTTTCCATGTTTCTATGCTGAGATGATACCATATGGATCCAAGTCATGTCATTCAGATTGATGAGGTAGACTTGAGATGAGATATGTCTTACGAGGAGGAACTTGTTCAGATTTTAAACTGAGACATGAGAGTTCTTCAGAACAGGAGGACTCCGATGGTTAAAGTTCAATGGAGCAACCGCAGAGGCTACATGGGAGACATTGGAGTCGATGGAGGCTTTGTTTATGTATATGTTCAGACAATGTAAATTTTGAGGACGAAATTTCTTTAAAGGGGGTGAGTTGTCACACGCCAATTCTAGGGTAAATTTTTTCTTAATTTTAATATGAAGATTAATTTAAGAATTTTGGCAAAATTCGAGAGTCAAAATAAAACTTTAGTTAAATTCAAACCCAAATCAAAAAGTTTCAAGAGCTAAGGGCTTATGATATAATAATATCATTTTCTTTTAATGGGGTATAAAACCCTCATGAAACCCAGAATTTCCATTTCTAGAAACTAAAACACTATCTCTCTTCAACCTTCCATATTTGGAAAACTTAAGCCAAGAATACTTAAACGTCATTTTACTTCTGACTGAAACTCCGTTGTTGACACTACTAATATCATTAAAGTCCTTGTGTCATCCCAAGTCCAACGGTGGCCTCTTTGTTTCCGACGTAACCGACTTGAGGAGGAGTAAACGATAACAAGTTTTCTGCGAAGCTTAATCGGGCTCTTCGTCATTCACAAGTGTGAACTGAGGTTGGTAAGTGCCTTAAAACACTTATAAATATTTTTTTGTAATTTTTTCGACCAAAACTAAGACCGTACGTGCCACCGCTGTGCGTGAGGGAAGTCCACCGTTTAGTGGGTTTCTAGAAGCGGGTCAAACCGACCCGCTGACCCGTTTGCTGACCTGTTTGACTTGTCTTACTACATGTTTTACCCGTCTAATCCACTCGGCCCAATATTAAACTGACCTAGTCAGATAGAGCCAACCTGAATCATTCCAACTGAGTCGAACTAAGCCGGTCCAACCGAGCTGAACCGCACTGCGTCGCGTTGCATTGTTCCGCACTGCACCGCACTGTTGACTATCATCGTTGATCGTTGACCATAGTTAACTTTTTCAAAAACACACTCTTGACATTTTTTGACGTCTTGAATCCGATTTTGCGGTCCGTTTTACCAAATTCTGACCCGAAAACCCTTAATCAAGCTCGTTAATATGAAAATTCTTAGAATTTTTAACATTTCTACTTATTTATTTGGGATTTGATTATGGCATTAATCTATGATTATATTTTTGTGAAGGCACCCGTGATTCCCCTAATCGAGGATCGACTATATCCGATACTTCACATTCGACAGATCAACAAGTACATGTTATGCGAGAGTGACAAGTAGGTTTTCGTAAGTTGTTTAAATTTTTTTTATTATTTATTTTTGTTAGGATTTTGAGATAGGTTTTTTGATTCGTAGGGTCTAGCACTACCGTTAATCGTGATAGACAAACCCGAGGATAGGCTACCGTCCCAAACTTCTCAGATTGATACAAGTGTGTTCATATTGGTGTTACAATACTATTTTAAATCATTTGTCTGAATTGTTTTGAAAATTTAAATATTATGACTGCATGAAATTTGTTTTATCGCATACTCTGATTTCTGATATATGATTTATCGCATATTCTGGCATGATCTCTAGTTACCATATTTTTGTATCTGATTCAGAAAAATGGCATGTTTTAATGTTTTATTTAATTAACTTACCAAATTCATGCATATTTACTATCATTGAGGGTATAATTGGAGGAAGCATTTAAGGCATAACCTTTGACTTGTAAGACCTTACTGCAAGTACCTCTACTTTGTGCATTGGCTAAGACATTACCGCAGGCCCTTATACTATCAGTATAAGGTCTTTACCGGGCGTACATGTGGGTGTATGGTTTAGGGGAACCTATACATTTTGTGTTCGGATGTGGGTAGTGTTTATATTTAAAGTGCATATTTTTATAAAATAAATTTTATTGAAGTATTTATCTGAATATTTTATACACCATAAGGAGCACACTATGTTTTTTAGTTCATTCTTTAATTTTTAACTTTTCAAATAGTACCAGTAGTAGACTAAGGGTTTGGCATAAAGAGGATTGATATCTCCTTACTTTTGTATCATTGTATATTTCTGTATGCCCTTTTTGTTATACTTTGGTGACATATATTTTTACTATTGTCTTCACGCATTTTTATTACAGATATTTTGTTTCGACGTTGTTGTCTATATAAATCTACCACATGGACTTTTCTGATAGCTATTTTCGTACTTTACTGTTATTTGCATTTTATTTACATAAATGAATTTTAAGTGTATTTTGAATCTAAAAATGAATTTTGTATACGACATGTGACCGCCTAGATTCGAACATATCTTCTAGGCCGAATCTAGGGGTTACATTTGTAATATTAATTACAACAATATAAACTATACAATATCCAAGATTTGGTGATAAAAGCTTGTCATCATTTTCCATTTTTGTATTATTTATTACAACAAGCATAAAATGTGGAGATAAATTTTATATGAATATTGTTCTCTTATTATTTGAAAAACGTTGAAGATAATTTGGTGGGGTATTTTGGGTTGCATTGGCGCATTTAAAGTGATGGGGACATTTCTCTGTGCGTGACTTAATGTAGAAACATTTGGGCATAACTGACACCGTTAGTTTTTAATTTTACCTTTCTAACACCGTTTGACCAATATTTCCAAAACTAGCACCCTTTCTGCTGAGTTGGCAAAGGCGCGTCCCCGGGGACGCGCTTTACCCGTGTTTTCGCTGAGCTGGATGCCACGTGTGAAAGACGCGTCCCCGGGGACGCGCCTTTGCCATATCAACAGACACGTGTGGAAAGCGCATCCCCGGGGACGCGCCTTCCATTAAATGTCATAAATGCCCCCATCCGTTTTTCCTAACTACCTCTCCTCCTCCCCTATATAAACCCCTCAACCCTCACTCATTCTTCACACCAAAATCATCTTCTCCTCTCTTATATAACTCAAATTCTCCAACTATTTAAGTTTTAAATTTGTTATTAGTGGTAAGAAATTTATTTTTATATTAGTATTTTTTAAATAGTTATTATTTTTATATTAATATATTTATGTAAATATTATTTTTTTTATTAAAATAATATTTATATAATTATTATTTATTTAGAATTATTAATTTTTTTTGCTAATTATATTGTTTTGTCTACAGTTATAATGGAAAACGAAATGCTGTTGCGATTGGATATTGATCATATCTCCAGACATTTTAGCGATATGGTAATATTTTTATAATTAATGTTAATATTTAAATTTATTTTTATTTTAAAGTTATTATGAATTTATATTAATTTTTATTTTTTATAATATATATTATTTAGGATGCTGATCGTATTTTAGAAACTTTTATTAAAAATTCACGTATACCGACACCGGAACGTATTTTGCCATATTTGGCTTCTGCCGGGTTCGGGTATATTGCAACAATTATAGGCGGTTGCAAACTCGAACCTGTCCTAATTTCTGCACTGATTGAGAGGTGGAGGCCCGAGACACACACTTTTCACCTTCCATGTGGAGAGGCAACAATTACATTGGAGGATGTCTCTATGCATATGGGGCTTCCCGTCGACGGAAATATGATGTGTGGTATGGCGGATGGTGATTGGCAATCAATGTGCATTGATTATCTTGGAGCTGCTCCGCCAGAGTTTAATGGAGGTAGAATAGCTTTATCTTGGTTGAAAGCTAATTTTGAGGTTTTAAATGAAAATGCTTCAGAGGATCAAGCAAAGGCATGTGCTCGGGCATATATTCTACGAATAATTGGAGGAATATTGATGCCCGAAAAATCTCGCAACCAGGTGCATTGTATGTGGTTGCGGCATCTGATCGATTTTGATGAAGCTGGAAGATATAGTTGGGGTGCTGCAGTTTTGGCATTTCTCTTTAGAGAAATGTGTCGGGCGGCGAATTATAAGAAAACTGCTATCGGTGGATGTCTTCTGCTTCTACAATCATGGGCGTGGTTCCGCATGCCTTTCTTATGCCCGATCGTGAATGAACCATACGTATTCCCCTTATTGTTGAGGTAATTTTCGAACTAAATTTTGATTTAAATATTTTCAATTAAATAGGGTGATATTTAGTTTATATTATATTTCATAGGTGGTCGATGAAAAGAAAGGACCATAAAAGTATACCTACTGGGTTAGAGGAAATTCGTTTACTTATTGATACGAAAGCTGGGTCTGAGGTATGTTTTTAAATTTGTTTAATTATTAATATTTTAATTTAAAATGTTAGATATAATTAGAATATTTTATTTATTTGAATTGTATATTTATATTTCAGTTTCAGTGGATACCTTATGCGAGCGATGAAGTGAAAGCTTGCATCCCACCCCACCTTAGTGGGTCATTAGAGGTATGGATATCGGTTATACCTCTTATATGTTATGCTATTATTGAGTGGCATCCAGTTGATCGCGTGCTCCGCCAGTATGGTTGTACGCAATATATTCCTGGAGCTCCTAGAAATTTAGACGACGTGCATGACATAGATAGACGGGGAAAGAAAGATGTTAACTGGGTGGTGAGACACAGAGATTGGATTGCGCTTTGGGAGAACCGATATACACTGTTGGCCCCTCGACAATATTACGCTGAAACTAGTCATATGGTTACGGATAACTATATGGACTGGTTTAATGAAAATGGGAAGCCGTTTCTACTTTCGGCGGAAGCACGAGGGGTTAACATTCCTAGGCGCCGAGAAAGACGTCAACCGTCTCAATATCATCGTCCCCCGACGCGTGGACGGAGAGAAGGCGCTACTGGTTCTGCATCAGTCCCACCACAACATCCTTATTCGTCGATGCCGCAGGGGTACATGCCCAGCCCTCCACTTCATATGCCAAGCCCACCAGTTTATATGCCATCTCCGCAGGGTTACATTCCGAGCCCGCAGGGTTACATTCCTAGCCCGCCAGGTTACATGCCTAGCCCGCCAGGTTACATGCCTAGCCCGCAGGGTTTTATACCATATGGAGGTGCATATACGACTATGTTTAATGATCCAGCATATGGTTCATATGCATCTTATTTGGCTGGTGGTGCTTCTCCGCAGACACCTCAATCTTCATCTGGATCACATACATCGATGCCAATGTTTCCACAGTTTCCACAGTTCCCGGGGAGCGGTGGGATTGTTACTAGCACTCCTCCAGGGTCGTTATTTTATACAGGCCCTTCAGCCCCTTCAGCGTCATCTACACCAAATGAAGAAAATGCTGCTGATGATGATAGTGAAGATGAGGAGACTGAAGAACAAGTTCCACGAAGAAATCCTCCACGAAATAGGCAACCACCGCCATGTGGAACTCATTCGAGAAGACGACATCGGTGATCCAGTTATATTTAATGTTATTTAAATAATTAAATTTCAGAATTTTATGTAATTTGGTTATGTTATTTAAATGTTTCATGGTTGTTACATACATATTTTTTAATGTTATTTTTTATTCACATTTAACATTAAATGTTTGATAAATGTTTTTAAAATACAAATTATATTATTCGAAATTTAAAATAAAAATAAAAATAATATTATTCAAATTTAAATTTAAAATATAAATTATAGTATTCGAAATTTAACATTAAATTTCAACTTAATATTCCAATTGTATTCGAAATTAAAAGTTATATTCCAATTATAGTTCACAATACTTAAATTGAAATTAAATTTATCCATACATATGATTTTATCATTAACATATATATTAAAACGTATACATTAAAATCAACTTTTGTTGAGTTCATCGATCGACGGAAAATACGTTTACATGTTGTCACCAGGGAACGACTATGCATTATTTCAGACCGAGGAGCCGGGATAAAAGCAGCAATGGACTCTTTGGGTACAATGTATAGACCTCCACATGTTCAACATCGTTATTGTGTCCGTCATATTGCTGCAAACTATTACGGAAAATACAAGAAGAACGATGAACGTCAGTTAGTCGTGCGGATGGGTATGTTACTTTTTCCCAATTTTTCTATCAATTTCTTATTACTTATTTATACTTCATATTAACTATTACATATTCCTAATGGCTTAGGTTACGAACTCTTACCTCAAAGGTTTGAGTCGATGCTACAAGAGCTGTTTGGCAAAAATAAGAAGGGGTGCGAGTACATTATGGACATCAGCAAAGAAATGTGGACAAATGCATATGACGGGGGGTATCGCTATGGTCATATGACAACAAACTTGGCTGAAGCAATAAATTCAACCTTAAAGGGGGCGCGTCATTTACCAGTCACGGCGTTGGTCAAAACGACTTATTTTCGTTTGGGTCAACTCTTTGCAAAACTCGGTGGACAAGCTCTTACTTGGATGCAAAACGGACATATTTACCACCCAAGACTAGTAGCCGATTTACAGAAAAAAGTGGCTGCATCAAATGGGATGTTAGTTACAAATTTTTCTCGCACCCGTGAATTGTTTCGTGTAACCGAAATGCCACGTCCGCTGCAAGGGATTGAAGCTAACTCTTTCAGAGTTAATCTGCAAGAGAGGTGGTGCGATTGTGGTTTCTTTCAAGCACTCAAATATCCATGCTCTCATGTCATTGCTGCTTGCTCACATTCGCATTTGGACTACAAAAATTATGTTGATCCCGTATACCAACTTTCACAAGTATTCAAGGTATATGAATTTGAGTTTCCGCCCATAGGAAACGAAAGAGACCCAAATGAGATTCAAACTTGGCTTACAATTGTACCATATCCATTGCTATTGAGGGACTCAGGTCGTCCAAAATCTACTAGAATACATTGTGATATGGATATTCGGGAGAAGTCAACAGAACAAAAACGATTTGGGCATTGTAGAAACATCGGGCACAATAGAAAAAAATGTCCAGCTCTGTTATCATCATATAACCGTTAACTCTTATGTAATTAATATTGTATTTAAATGAATGTTTTTATTTCTAATAATTTAATGTTATTGCATTTATATAATTTGTCAATGTATGTACACCTAAATAATTTGCATTTATATACGATGACACATTTCATGTTCTGATTGGAAGATTAAATTTATTAAATTAAATTTTCAATCAGACTAATTTTATAAAATATGTAAGTCTTGAAGATTAAATATGTAATTATACTAATTTATTAACTTATACATCATATTTTCGTTAATATTGATATGAGATGACTAGATTGATAACATTTAAATAATTAACTGATAAAATTAATAGATCGATAATCAAATCAAAAATACTCGAAACTTGATAATTCT